CACGTTACAGTGAGTACCATGTCTAACACAGCCACTCTACAGTGAGTACCATGTCTAACACAGCCACGATACAGTGAGTACCAAGTCTAACTCAGCCACGTTACAGTGAGTACCATCTCTAACTCAGCCACGTTACAGTGAGTACCAAGTCTAACTCAGCCACGTTACAGTGAGTACCAAGTCTAACACAGCCACATTACAGTGAGTACCAAGTCTAACACAGCCACGTTACAGTGAGTACCATGTCTAACACAGCCACTCTACAGTGAGTACCATGTCTAATACAGCCACGTTACAGTGAGTACCATGTCTAACACAGCCACGCTACAGTGAGTACCAAGTCTAACCCAGCCACGCTACAGTGAGTACCAAGTCTAACTCAGCCACATTACAGTGAGTACCAAGTGTAACTCAGCCACGTTACAGTGAGTACCAAGTCTAACACAGCCACATTACAGTGAGTACCAAGTCTAACACAGCCACGTTACAGTGAGTACCATGTCTAACACAGCCACTCTACAGTGAGTACCATGTCTAACACAGCCTCGCTACAGTGAGTACCAAGTCTAACACAGCCACGCCACAGTGAGTACCAAGTCTAACTCAGCCACGTTACAGTGAGTACCATGTCTAACACAGCCATGTAACAGTGAGTACCAAGTCCAACACAGCCACGTTACAGTGAGTACCATGTCTAACACAGCCACGCTACAGTGAGTACCATATCTAACACAGCCACGTTACAGTGAGTGCCAAGTCTAACACAGCCATGCTACAGTGAGTACCAAGTCTAACACAGCAACGCTACAGTGAGTACCAAGTCTAACACAGCAACGCTACAGTGAGTACCATGTCTAACACAGCCACGTTACAGTGAGTACCAAGTCTAAGACAGCCACGCTACTGTGAGTACCAAGTCTAACACAGCCACGCTACAGTGAGTACCAAGTCTAACACAGCCACGCTACAGTGAGTACCATGTCTAACACAGCCACGCTACAGTGAGTACCAAGTCTAACACAGCCACATTACAGTGAGTACCAAGTCTAACACAGCCACGTTACAGTGAGTACCATGTCTAACACAGCCACTCTACAGTGAGTACCATGTCTAATACAGCCACGTTACAGTGAGTACCATGTCTAACACAGCCACGCTACAGTGAGTACCAAGTCTAACCCAGCCACGCTACAGTGAGTACCAAGTCTAACTCAGCCACGTTACAGTGAGTACCAAGTGTAACTCAGACATGTTACAGTGAGTACCAAGTCTAACACAGCCACATTACAGTGAGTACCAAGTCTAACACAGCCACGTTACAGTGAGTACCATGTCTAACACAGCCACTCTACAGTGAGTACCATGTCTAACACAGCCTCGCTACAGTGAGTACCAAGTCTAACACAGCCACGCTACAGTGAGTACTAAGTCTAACTCAGCCACGTTAAAGTGAGTACCATGTCTAACACAGCCATGTAACAGTGAGTACCAAGTCCAACACAGCCCCGTTACAGTGAGTACCATGTCTAACACAGCCACGCTACAGTGAGTACCATATCTAACACAGCCACGTTACAGTGAGTGCCAAGTCTAACACAGCCACGCTACAGTGAGTACCAAGTCTAACACAGCCACGCTGCAGTGAGTACCAAGTCTAACTCAGCCACGTTACAGTGAGTACCATCTCTAACTCAGCCACGTTACAGTGAGTACCAAGTCTAACTCAGCCACGTTACAGTGAGTACCAAGTCTAACACAGACACATTACAGTGAGTACCAAGTCTAACACAGCCACGTTACAGTGAGTACCATGTCTAACACAGCCACTCTACAGTGAGTACCATGTCTAATACAGCCACGTTACAGTGAGTACCATGTCTAACACAGACACGCTACAGTGAGTACCAAGTCTAACCCAGCCACGCTACAGTGAGTACCAAGTCTAACTCAGCCACGTTACAGTGAGTACCAAGTGTAACTCAGCCACGTTACAGTGAGTACCAAGTCTAACACAGCCACATTACAGTGAGTACCAAGTCTAACACAGCCACGTTACAGTGAGTACCATGTCTAACACTGCCACTCTACAGTGAGTACCATGTCTAACACAGCCTCGCTACAGTGAGTACCAAGTCTAACACAGCCACGCTACAGTGAGTACCAAGTCTAACTCAGCCACGTTACAGTGAGTACCATGTCTAACACAGCCATGTAACAGTGAGTACCAAGTCCAACACAGCCACGTTACAGTGAGTACCATGTCTAACACAGCCACGCTACAGTGAGTATCATATCTAACACAGCCACGTTACAGTGAGTGCCAAGTCTAACACAGCCACGCTACAGTGAGTACCAAGTCTAACACAGCAACGCTACAGTGAGTACCAAGTCTAACACAGCAACGCTACAGTGAGTACCAAGTCTAACACAGCAACGCTACAGTGAGTACCATGTCTAACACAGCCACGTTAGAGTGAGTACCAAGTCTAACACAGCCACGCTGCAGTGAGTACCAAGTCTAACACAGCCATGTTACAGTGAGTACCATGTCTAACACAGCCACTCTACAGTGAGTACCATGTCTAACACAGCCACGTTACAGTGAGTACCATGTCTAACACAGCCACGCTACAGTGAGTACCATGTCTAACACAGCCTCGCTACAGTGAGTACCATGTCTAACACAGCCTCGCTACAGTGAGTACCAAGTCTAACTCAGCCACGCTACAGTGAGTACCAAGTCTAACGCAGCCACGCTACAGTGAGTACCAAGTCTAACACAGCAACGCTACAGTGAGTACCATGTCTAACACAGCCACGTTACAGTGAGTACCATGTCTAACACAGCCACGTTACAGTGAGTACCAAGTCTAACACAGCCACGTTACAGTGGGTACCATGTCTAACACAGCCACGCTACAGTGAGTACCATGTCTAACACAGCCACGTTACAGTGAGTACCAAGTCTAACACAGCAACGCCACAGTGAGTACCATGTCTAACACATCCACGTTACAGTGAGTACCAATCTAACACAGCAACGCTACAGTGAGTACCATGTCTAACACAGCCACATTACAGTGAGTACCAAGTCTAACACAGCCACGTTACAGTGAGTACCATGTCTAGCACAGCCACGCTACAGTGAGTACCAAGTCTAACACAGCAACGCTACAGTGAGTACCATGTCTAACACAGCCACGCTACAGTGAGTACCAAGTCTAACACAGCCACGCTACAGTTAGTACCAAGTCTAACACAGCCTCGCTACAGTGAGTACCATGTCTAACACAGCCACGTTACAGTGAGTACCATGTCTAACACAGCCACATTACAGTGAGTACCAAGTCTAACACAGCCACGTTACAGTGAGTACCATGTCTAACACAGCCACGCTACAGTGAGTACCAAGTCTAACACAGCCACATTACAGTGAGTACCATGTCTAACACAGCCACGCTACAGTGAGTACCATGTCTAACACAGCCACGTTACAGTGAGTACCAAGTCTAACACAGCAACGCCACAGTGAGTACCATGTCTAACACAGCCACGTTACAGTGAGTACCAATCTAACACAGCAACGCTACAGTGAGTACCATGTCTAACACAGCCACGTTACAGTGAGTACCAAGTCTAACACAGCCACGTTACAGTGAGTACCATGTCTAGCACAGCCACGCTACAGTGAGTACCAAGTCTAACACAGCAACGCCACAGTGAGTACCATGTCTAACACAGCCACGCTACAGTGAGTACCAAGTCTAACACAGCCACGCTACAGTGAGTACCAAGTCTAACTCAGCCTCGCTACAGTGAGTACCATGTCTAACACAGCCACGTTACAGTGAGTACCATGTCTAACACAGCCACGTTACAGTGAGTACCAAGTCTAACACAGCCACGTTACAGTGAGTACCAAGTCTAACACAGCAACGCTACAGTGAGTACCATGTCTAACACAGCCACGTTACAGTGAGTACCAAGTCTAACACAGCCACGTTACAGTGAGTACCATGTCTAACACAGCCACGCTACAGTGAGTACCAAGTCTAACACAGCAACGCTACAGTGAGTACCATGTCTAACGCAGCCACGCTACAGTGAGTACCAAGTCTAACACAGCCACGCTACAGTGAGTACCAAGTCTAACTCAGCCTCGCTACAGTGAGTACCATGTCTAACACAGCCACGTTACAGTGAGTACCATGTCTAACACAGCCACGTTACAGTGAGTACCAAGTGTAACACAGCCACGTTACAGTGAGTACCATGTCTAACACAGCCACGTTACAGTGAGTACCATGTCTAACACAGCCACGCTACAGTGAGTACGAAGTCTAACACAGCCACGCTACAGTGAGTACCAAGTCTAACTCAGCCACGCTACAGTGAGTACCAAGTCTAACACAGCCACGCTACAGTGAGTACCAAGTCTAACACAGCCTCGTTACAGTGAGTACCATGTCTAACTCAGCCACACTACAGTGAGTACCAAGTCTAACTCAGCCTCGCTACAGTGAGTACCAAGTCTAACTCAGCCACGCTACAGTGAGTACCATGTCTAACTCAGCCACGCTACAGTGAGTACCAAGTCTAACTCAGCCTCGCTACAGTGAGTACCATGTCTAACTCAGCCTCGCTACAGCCTTGTTACCGTAGTAGGAATAAAGTCAAATGCAACCTTGTTACAGTGCATAGACATGGAAGTACACCCATGTTAAAGTTGTGAGTGAGTAAGTGGGTATGGTTTTGCGCCGCTTTTAGCAATATTCCAGCAATACCACGGCGGGGGACACCAGAAATGGGCTTCACACATTGTACCCATGTCGGGAATCGTACCCGGGTCTTCGGCGTGACAAACGAACGCTTTAACCTCTAGGCTACCTGACCGCCCCTGTTACAGTAGTAGAAAGTGCAGTGCAATGGGCAGTATTACCATGGAACATCACAGATGATTGAATTCATAACAACGTTGAGTGACTCTGATTGTCAAACAGGAAACATGGATGTCCTGGCAACACTTTCCTCCGACTGGCGGTGTCCGATGGGAGAGGAGTTGAGAGTATCGTATATCCCTGAAGCTCTTCTTGCACCCGGTGTTCAGGTACCACAAGAAGATTTAAATGAATAAAAAATGTGTAGTTGATATATTTATGCGCTGATAATCTCGTTTGGTTTGAATACCTAATGGTAAAAAATTACTGATAAATATAAATCGTCACACACCCCGGTGAGTCAGATTAAATGTCTCGGCCCATACATTACTTTTGTAGTTGATGCGGCACGGCACAGATTAATGAAATGGTACAGAGCATATGATGAAGCACGGGGACTTCAGTCCACCAGCAGTAACATTGCCCCAGTTCAAGTAAATATAAAACATCTATGAAAGAAAATAACAAATCTCGATTATCCGCCGAAACAAATTTTATTTATCCTAAAAGGCAAAATAACGGTGAAAATAATATGAATAGGTCACTGAAAATAAGTGATGACACGAGGTGTTCGAGAAAAGGGTGAGCATGTCCTGCCCTACCAGTAGCACCCGCCATTCACACAGTTCGCGAAAAGGGTGAGCATGTCCTGTCCAAACGATAACATGGTTATATCATTGTCACTCTCTCGTTACTTCCACATGCATAAAACTATATTTTTAGGTTTCTTTACAATATTGGGCGCCATGTCCGGCAAAGTTCAAAGTCACCTTTGACGTTTATTCAGGAACATGGTGTATCATTCATTATTAGTTATTGTTGCAGTACTTGTAACATTCTGAGTCTTAATACTTGTTGGATCTTAAGAAGTTGTGTTGATTAAGGTCAGTGTGTAGAAGTAATGTTTATTGATTGGAAGTAGGTGGTGGTATTTCAAGATTGAAAGAATATTTGAGGAAATGTCTTTGACGGGGCTGCTGCTATCTAAGTACTTCCAAACAGCTCCTGGCTACTTTACTTTTACGTCCTATGAACATCTACCAATGAAGCAGCATTCTCAGAACCTTAAGTTCTCTCAGCTCTGAGTTACGCGTCGATTCCAAGATTGGAACAATATTTTAACCCAGAAATCTGTATGTAAAAGAATTCAGAATGAAACCAATAAACAACCACCAAATGGTATACAAGAAACAAATGTATTACAAAATTTACTAGATTTACAAATCAAGAAATTTACTGCACAGCAATTACAATGGCAGTACACTATACAGTGGTAGTACAATATTCAATGACAATATATAATATGACAGCATTTGTCAGTATCAAATACAAAAACAATGGTGATAGCAAAAGTCAGTGATAATAATACGTTCACGCAGCACGGACAGTGGCCAAGCTTTCGAGATGGCAGGGAATCGGGGGTGATGAGTGATCTTCACACGAAAGCTGGTTTTGATACTGTATAATGAAATGTGAGATGAGACAGGCACACACCCACTCCACTTATATTACTAAGCATCTTCCAGAAGATTCTACCGAATCTCAACAGAAACAATGTAATACAGTTCATTGTTCAACAATCATTGTTCAACAATACAATACACTGCCATATAACATCTGTAAGGGATTGAGCTAGAGTCATGGTACTTTCTGTTCTGTTGTTCCAGTGCAAATACATGTTATGACTGTCTTTCCGAAACCGGAAGTGACATAATCCGAGTATCAATAATTTTGTTATAAATTCAGATGAGGCCATACAACTTCTTGTTTCAAAGTTCGTATGAAGCGTACATTCTATGCTTATAAACTAAAGTTATAGAAGGTCTTGCAGAAGACACCTGTACTTGGCTGTTTGATGCTACGTGTAAATGTTAAGGTACCAGGACGAGGTCTTGATGCGTGCAGAACTACCGTGCGTGGGTATGTAGGGTAGGAGAGATAGACCGAGTCCGAGTACCTTAACCGACTTATAAACCAAGGAAATAAATAAGTTTTAACACTCAGATGAACAAAACAGCAAGATTTTAATCAAATTGACCCCTTCAGTAGAAATGAAGTTGCCTGATGCGTAAAGGTGCAGATGATGCGTTTCGATAAAGACATACAAACTGTCTAAATGCAAGAAATAATAGAAAAAGTAAGAAAACATTGAGATATGTTATAATAAAATAATACAATGTGTTGTGGTATAAAAGGAATGCGATCAAAGCATCATAGAGCAAATAAACCTTAAAAACACTTGCAGCATAGACAAAACATCATGGCATCTAAAATTGAACAACCTTTCATCACCTGCTGGGGTAACAAAACTTAACACGATAATTGAGGTTGCAGGTTTGATCCCATTATGAAAAAAATCATTTCTTATCTTCGATTTCAGACTATTTTGACGTTTGAAACACAAAGTCCAAATTGATTCTGCTTTCCAATTCGTCAGATCTTTCTTCTTAAAAGTAATACCTCATAATCGGGCGTAGCATAGGAAGTATGTTTTATTGGTTTAAATACAGTTGGGACAGGTCTTTCTGTAACTCCAGATGACCTCATATTAGGTCTCTATATCTCAGAAAGACCTATTGATCTCAAACATGATATCACAAGGTCTTACTAACAGGTTATGGTAGTTAGGGGTTTATAATTATCTTTCAGAATATCTCGAAAACATAAAATTGATTACAATTCTATGACAACTTTTTATAGAAAAATCACTAATGTAATCCGCCTCTTGTTCATCCCACATCTTTGTTTTGTTCCAGATGACTGCTCAAGACTTCGACCAGGTCACTGCCAAGATGAAGACTGCAGCCAAGCTGAGTCTGTATTGCTGCAACACAACACCATGCTGTGCCTTCACCTTTGTTATGCTCCTCCAAATGCTGATTGCAGCTGTTATTTCCATGTTCTTCCAACCTGATGATAACGTTACAATGCTTGCTAGTTCCATTCTACTACTTTTAGTCACGGTAACGATTTTCTTTGGGCAAAGAATTTGGGTAAGTTTAATGGCTTTGCAATGTACAAAAACAATTATCAGCACAGCTTAATAAATAAAAGCATCAATAATAAGTATAAACAGTTAAAAATAATTATAAACTTATACAGTATAATCTTATGTCATGGTGAATGTAGCAGTTGTTGAGTTGAGTTTGAAGGGGGAAAGAAATGCATTGCACGAACAGTCCAGTGCTACATATATACTATGCAAAAGAAGTAGGGGATATTTTGTTTTGAGGTGAAACTTCAGAAAATACACCATTGTCTGGCAATTAAAGTAAGTGATTTATCTTGCACGACGATTTAAAAAAAATCAATTCAAAAACATTGTGACAGTCGGACAGCATTTGCAGGGGGGGGGGGGGGGGGGGGGGGGGTATGCCAGATTTATCTTTGTCACTCAGACTCGATTGTAACCTGATGCATATTGCTTGTTTTTTAAACCATGCGCTCAATTAACACATTTAATCATTAAAGAAGTAACAGCGTTGATCATGTTTGCAACGTGCTGAATGTTTGCATGTGGGCGCACATCAGAATATTGTTTTTCAAACTTTGATGGTTCTCAATCTGTCATCATCAGATTGTGGGCCTGATACCACCGAACACATAACGAGGCGTCCACGAGACTCTGGACGCCAAAGCACAAATAACTCCAGCACACTACATCTTCCCGAGGCAAGTGAGTTAACTGACTATAACAGTCCAGTTTCCACCCTTACCGAACTAGGCTGGTATTATGGAGTTACATTTTGACCTAGGCTAACGAGTCTATGCATAGTCCAATCAAAATCGCGCACCGAAATCGAAATCCGGTTCATAAAGTGTCATGCAGATTTCGGTGATTGCAGGATTTGCAAAGCATGTGCACCGCTAACTCGTTGTCAACAGATATTTTCTAAATCTTTTCATGTTTTTAATCAAGGTGCTCACGTGATTTGATGCACTTCGCGATGTAAGACTCGTTTTATCACAATATAGATCTTGATTATCGATCAGATCGTCTTGACTGGGCGCCACCGTTTTGTTTGAAGCAAATGCAAGTGATACGAGAGGTTGAATCTGATTGGTCAATAGGAGAGGCATAGAGGGAACATAACTCGTAATAGCCATTGGTGGCGCTATGATCGAGCCCAGGAATTCCAGCCTAGTTCGGCAAGGGTGGAAACATGACTTTTAAAGTCAATTAACTCTCTTGCTTCCTGAAGATGGCACACTAAGGAAAGGGACGGGTTGTAACAAGCAACTGGTGTAAGAGTACATGCTCAGGCGGTTTGAAATCGTCTGCACAGATGCCCACGTGCCATCCCACAACTTACTGCACGTCATTTGAATAAGAGGCGTCGATAGTGTAGGGGACATCAGCACTGGGATCAAGGACGTAGAGCTAATATCATGTTTTGTGAAGAATCAAGGTTCACTCTTGACCGAAGGAATCAAGTTTGGAGAAGTCCTAATGAGCGTGCTATGGACGTTAACTTTGTACAGCATGATCATTTGGTGTTGCACTCCATATTGTCCATGGCAGAGTCACGGGTCAAAGCTATTGGGACAACATCATTGCTCTTAGTGTCATTTGCACAACTTGTTGGGCAACGTTTCATCTTTCAAGATGATAATGCATGTGATCATCGTGTCAGGATTGTGGCCCAATTCCTCAAACCAGCAAAACATCCATGTCATGCCATGGCCAGCACTCATTCCAAACCTTTCCCCAGTTGAACACATCTGGGACGTCACAATCCACTCACCACTCTCCATGAACTCGGTGTTGCTCTCAAATGATTGAAGAATCTTCACTTTTAACAAACGAAAGCATCGGAACATACACTAGATGACCTGGTATATAAGCTGATGTAGTGCCCACATAACTTGAAACATTTCTTGAGTAAATTTCAGAGGACTCATCGCCTAAAACAAGCCGTGGTCGCTGTCAACAATGGCCTTATTGAGAACAACGTCCTTGTTGGATTCAAGGCAGCGTGGAGCACCGGTGCAACCTTCAGACTACGGGTAAGTGTTTTTGATTTGTATTGCGGGTGTTGTCCTGAGAGCCAACCGAAATGATGACTTCTTGGTTACAAAGTGTACTGTGACGCTCTGTGTGAGCAGACTCTTGTATACACAGTGTTAAGAGGTGATTTCGACTGTTGCTCAGAAGTTGTTTGATGAAGGTTACGACATTAAAAGCCTCAGTAAAGCTTTCAAAAGGTTTTATAGTAGGCATGGGGAGGACATTTCCAAATCGGACGCATCAGTGACAAAAATGATGTCCGATGCAATTCTCTATTTTGACTTGTACGATATGTTCCCGTTTTTTTAGGTGAATAAGTGACTTGCCTTTGCATGTGTTTGTGATGGGTGCCACAGGTGGGGCAGGATACGCTCACTTTTCGCAAACACCTGGTATCTTTACTAATTCTTAGGGATTCATAAACACATGCTCATGATAGTGACGGAATCGTACAATAGACTCTGCTTCATGCAGAGATTTCTGTTGGATATAGAAAGGGTTTTGTCGCTTTATCACAAACTGTCATGCAGAGGTTAACTCAGAAATCGGTTCATGCAAACCTAAACTGTGAAATCAGTACTGGACCACAAAAGATCAATTCCGTATTCCACCCAGTCATGTAGTGCCACTGCCAGTGTATCCTTCCACCTATCAAGAAGTGCCACTGCCAAGGTATCCTTCCACCTATCAAGAAGTGCCACTGCCAATGTATCCTTCCACCCTGTTGTGTAGTGCCACTGCCAAGGTATCCTTCCACCCTGTTGTGTAGTGCCACTGCCAATGTATCCTTCCACCCTGTCATGTAGTGCCACTGCCAAGGTATCCTTCCACCCTGTCATGTAGTGCCACTGCCAAGGTATCCTTCAACCTGCTCGTGTAGTGCCACTGCCAAGGTATCCTTCCACCCTGTCATGTAGTGCCACTGCCAAGGTATCCTTCCACCCTGTCATGTAGTGCCACTGCCAAGGTATCCTTCCACCCTGTCATGTAGTGCCACTGCCAAGGTATCCTTCCACCCTGCCGTGTAGTGCCACTGCCAAGGTATCCTTCCACCCTGTTGTGTAGTGCCACTGCCAAGGTATCCTTCCACCCTGTCGTGTAGTGCCACTGCCAAGGTATCCTTCCACCCTGTCGTGTAGTGCCACTGCCAAGGTATCCTTCCACCCTGTCGTGTAGTGCCACTGCCAAGGTATCCTTCCACCCTGTCGTGTAGTGCCACTGCCAAGGTATCCTTCCACCCTGTCGTGTAGTGCCACTGCCAAGGTATCCTTCCACCTGGTCGTGTAGTGCCACTGCCAAGGTATCCTTCCACCCTGTCATGTAGTGCCACTGCCAAGGTATCCTTCCACCCTGTCGTGTAGTGCCATTGCCAAGGTATCCTTCCACCTGGTCGTGTAGTGCCACTGCCAAGGTATCCTTCAACCTGGTCGTGTAGTGCCACTGCCAATGTATCCTTCCACCATGTCGTGTAGTGCCACTGCCAAGGTATCCTTCCACCCTGTCATGTAGTGCCACTGCCAAGGTATCCTTCAACCTGGTCGTGTAGTGCCGCTTCCAAGGTATCCTTCCACCCTGTCATGTAGTGCCACTGCCAAGGTATCCTTCCACCCTGTCATGTAGTGCCACTGCCAAGGTATCCTTCCACCCTGTCATGTAGTGCCACTGCCAAGGTATCCTTCCACCCTGTCGTGTAGTGCCACTGCCAAGGTATCCTTCCACCTGGTCGTGTAGTGCCACTGCCAATGTATCCTTCCACCATGTCGTGTAGTGCCACTGCCAAGGTATCCTTCCACCCTGTCATGTAGTGCCACTGCCAAGGTATCCTTCAACCTGGTCGTGTAGTGCCACTGCCAAGGTATCCTACCACCCTGTTGTTTAGTACTATAGCTTATGTCGAGTAGTAACAAGTAGTACTGCGCCAAGGCCGATGTACCACCATCCCTGTCATCTGACTCTGTCTGTTTCAGCTAACCTTCTGGTTCTTCGATATGTTGGAATGTAGGGTAAGTATAATACCACAAAGTCATACACATGTGTTGTTTCCGTAAGAAGAGGACACATATGTTTAGTTACCAGTAACTGTCTGATCTCCAACCAGATATCAGGTAACAGTGTGTACTATGTGTTCTGTCGTGACATGTCAGGATGTAACACACTACTAACAAACCAAAACAACAAACTGTTGAACATTCAACAGAAGATGTTGCATCCATGTCATGGGTATTTTGGTTTATGAATAATTGAATGTGGTATTTAAAGGAAATGAAGTAGTGGTTCCAGGGGGAGGTAACTCCTACTACCCCAGCGTCAGCTAGTAGTTTGAAGAGTTCAGAGATGTCTTTACCGTTCGGAGATTTGTAAAATGAGAATGCTTGAAAGTAAAGTCAATAAGTAGCTGTCAGGTGCCCATGTACTTTACAAATGTGAAGAATATGTTTGATTGTCTGATTGTAAAACTTCCTTTTGTGCTTGGTTTATAAAACCTGGAAGAATTTCATTGAGTAAATAATTTCCAGGTATAAACTGGTTCCACGGAAAGTTGATTATGATCATTTAAGAGAAACAGTTATTATAAAATAAGACTTATTTTCTGGGATTGACGTTTTGAAAATAATAACTGGGCTGTCCATTTACAAATATTTACAAGCACGCAGATACATTAAGGTTTTCCAAAGTTAAAACTCCTTCAATATATTACGTGTACTCTGGCAGAAACATCTGGAAGGAATATTGGCCATGACATCCAACCCAGGAACTTCACTTCAGCCGGATTCATCATCAGTGTCTGTGAGTAAACTTCACATATGTGAAGAAACTTTTCAGCTCCTCCTTCTCACCTTTCAGTGGATGATCCCAGATCAGTGGAGGAGCTCCTGTTAGTTAGTACTGGCCTGGCTGCACACAACCCTACACAACACACGAACACACACAACACACGAACACACACAACCCCACACAACACACGAACACACACAACCCCACACAGTGCACAACCCCACACAACCCCACACAGCGCACAACCCCACACAACACACGAACACACACAACCCCACACAACACACGAACACACACAACCCCACACAGTGCAAAACCCCACACAACCCCACACAGCGCACAACCCCACACAACACACGAACACACACAACCCCACACAGCACAAAACACACGAACACACACAACCCCACACAACACACGAACACACACAACCCCACACAGTGCACAACCCCACACAACCCCACACAACGCACAATCCCCCACAACACACGAACACACACAACCCCACACAGCGCACAACCCCACACAACACACGAACACACACAACCCCACACGAACACACGAACACACACATCACATGAACACACACAACCCCACACAACACACGAACACACACAACCCCACACAACACACGAACACACACAACCCCACACAACACACACAACCCCACACAACACACGAACACACACAACCACACACAACACACGAACACACACAACACACGAACACACACAACCCCACACAACGCACAATCCCACACAACACACGAACACACACAACCCCACACAGCGCACAACCCCACACAACACACGAACACACACAACCCGACACAACACACGAACACACACAACCCCACACAACACACACAACCCAACACAACACACGAACACACACAACCACACACAACACACGACCACACACAACCCCACACAGCGCACAACCCCACACAACACACGAACACACACAACCCCACACAGCGCACAACCCCACACAACACACAAACACAAACAACCCCACACAGCGCACAACCCCACACAACACACGAACACACACAACCCCACACAGCGCACAACCCCACACAACACACGAACACACACAACCCCACACAGCACACAACACACGAACACACACAACCCCACACAGCGCACAACCCCACACAACAGCCACTCCTACATTAAACACAATCCTACACAACACACAACCCCACACAACACACGAACACACACAACTCTCTCTGAGATGAACCAGTCCACTAGACCAGTGCTTGCTACAAAGCTCAGCTACACCAGTCCACTAGACCAGTGCCTGCTACAAGGCTCAGCTACACCAGTCCACTAGACCAGTGCCTGCTACAAGGCTCAGCTACACCAGTCCACTAGACCAGCGCCTGCTTCAAAGCTCAGCTACACCAGTCCACTAGACCAGTGCCTGCTACAAAGCTCAGCTTCACCAGTCCACTAGACCAGTACCTGCTACAAGGCTCAGCTACACCAGTCCACTAGACCAGTGCCTGCTACAAAGCTCAGCTACACCAGTCCACTAGACCAGTACCTGCTACAAAGCTCAGCTACACCAGTCCACTAGACCAGTGCCTGCTACAAAGCTCAGTTACACCAGTCCACTAGACCAGTGCCTGCTACAAAGCTCAGCTACACCAGTCCACTAGACCAGTGCCTGCTACAAAGCTCAGCTACACCAGTCATGCGTCCGTCCCAGTACCTGCTACAAAGCTCAGCTACACAAGTCCACTAGACCAGTGCCTGCTACAAGGTTCAGCTACACCAGTCCACTAGACCAGTGCCTGCTACAAAGCTCAGCTACACCAGTCCACTAGACCAGTGCCTGCTACAAGGCTCAGCTACACCAGTCATACGTCCGTCCCAGTACCTGCTACAAAGCTCAGCTACACAAGTCCACTAGACCAGTGCCTGCTACAAGGCTCAGCTACACCAGTCCACTAGAGCAGTGCCTGCTACAAAGCTCAGCTACACCAGTCCACTAGACCAGTGCCTGCTACAAGGCTCAGCTACACCAATCCACTAGACCAGTGCCTGCTACAATGCTCAGCTACACCAGTCATACGTCCTGGATTTGTTGGTTATCATTCATGGCTTTCGCGAACACCTGTTGTCATCATTGATTTTCACTGAGCCGTTCATATAATTGTCATCTCTATTTGGAATCTGTTTCGGCAGATAATCGAGATAATTCTCTGTGGTCACGTTTTTTGTGTGCATTTTGTTAGATGGGAATACAAAGGGTCGAGTGGTAAGACCTCGATGACGTGGGTCGTTTCTCTGGTCCACAATCAATACACAGGCCTCTGCGATACAGATGGAAAGTTGCTGACTGCTGTGTAAAACAACATTCACTCCACTATTCCAAGCACATAGTCAGCGTGATAGGTTTGATGATAAAATACTCATTCTGATATTTCTCCCATTTCAGGATCAGGCGATGGATCTTTTGTGCCGCTCCAGCGAAGCCTACACCACTGCCTATCAACGGGGTCATCTGAAGGTCAAAGATGATGTCAGACACGTCCGCCATGCTCTGTGTATGTGTCAGTTTGTAGAGCAAGAGCATGTCGGGAAACTTACGGCCATCCCACCGGAAGTCGTGTGAGTTCAGGCTCAGCGTAAACAGACATACTGACAATGGCCTATGGGTTGACGGTGAGAAGGTAGAAGGTGTTGTGACATTCAGGATGCGGGCGTGAACCTGGGCGTCTGGACATGACAAGGTCGCCATGTGTGTTATTCACTTCTTCAATATGTATGTCATCGTTAGTTGCTGTTGGATGTCACAGAACATCTGTTTGGTTCCTGAGTCACGGGCGGACCTATTGTTGACCGAGAAAAGAAATGTGTATTACGAATGCACGGGCTAGTGCATATATCCGTGCAGCATTGTGTTGTGTTCAGTTTCATTGATTGCATGATGTTTTTATCGTTCATGTTGATGACGCAGTAGTTTGTTACTGTGATGTTGTACTGTAAGTCAGATAGCGTACACGGCACCGGAATGTCCCGCGCTTACCTTAACTTAAGAAATACTATATAAGAAACGCCCAGTTTGAATGCGAATCAAACACGTCAAGCAGATACTCTTTGCTCAACAATCCCCTGATTTGCCACTTAACCATACCTCACTACATCAAACTGCGAAATCCGACGCATGTTTGGCTAACACCCCGGGACAGTGGGCAGATTGTACACATCTTTGACAAGTATAATGGGAGTGGACTACCTCGTTCTTTAATTAAATATAAAACAGAAAGTAGTGACCTGTCTTATCAATGATCAAGGTCATTAGAAAAACAACAACACATAAATAAGTGTTTTACATGATCTCCAAATTTATGAAATATCTCTATTCTCAACCTGTCACAGAACATCTTTTGCTTTGGGTCAGCTATGTAAAGGTGAAGGACATCAAAGGTGAAGGTCATCATTCGTATGATTATAAATTCTTGTCAAATGTCTGACACTAATGCCTATATGTCTAACACTTGTTGTTTCTGAAAGTTTTTGCAGATAAAGCTCATTGACATATTCTTTATTATGCATATGAAACTATTTGAACAAATGGTAAAATGAAGTGAATGTCATAAATATATATATTCATGCATGAAACGCTTTGAGTTGCAACTGTTATGAAACTTCAACTGTTTGGGTATTATAAGATACATGATACAAGATACAAGAATATTTAATTAACGTCAGTTATGGGGAAAACAAATACATATTTAGCTCTTCAGAGTGGGGGCACGGGTCGCTGTGCAGAGTTGCGTCCCTTGGCCACGCCAGAAACCTATGATTGTGGTTTCGAATCCCGGTTCGCCCCGATTGTGTTTCTAGGTTTGTCTCAGCATACCCGTGCTTGTGGGTTAACCGAAGTAGTAAACGTCTGAGACCTGCATCACTTCGGGGTATCCTCCCACATTAAGCTGACACGCCGTGATATAACTGGAATACTGTTAAAAGCGGCGTTAAACCCGACTCACTCACTCACTCTTCAGAGATATTTTCCCGGCATGACATAAAACAATAACACGGGCAGGGGATGTACAGGAACTATAGAGTGAATAAGAATTAAAAAAACATAGCAGCATTCGGGCGACTATTCTCGCCCCGAGAAGCCTCATATGCAAACGACTTTAGCTCTAAAGTTGAGGATTTATCCAGGGGGTTCTCCGCCGTTATTTCCTGCGTGAGGGTAAAGGGCGGTTGTTTTAAGGTTATAAAGTTTTGAATGCAACTTGGAATTCTTTGCGACAATTTTGAACAATTCCCGAGCCATGTCCTTTAAGCTATTGACATAAAGAAAGTTAGAGCCATTATTTCAGAAGCTCCGAAGAGGGACTGTAATTAAACTTAGATATTGTGAAGGTTTTGCAAATAACAATCTTCCCCTGCCTGGTGAGGTTACGGAGCATGCGTCTCAATACTGCTAGTTGTTTTGTGGCCTTTCTGCATATTTCAGCAATGTGGCTTTTATACGTTAGCAAGGTGGCGATAGTCACACCAAGCAGGACAACACTGTCATCTCAAGCTAAACTGAGGGCCAAAAGAAACGTTACCAACATTAACTGATTTGCCACTTTGAAACAAAGATGCCAACTTGTTCAAAAAAAGTAAAGAACACATCTCACGAATACAGCCTTCATGTTCTCTGTCGTTCTTTGCACGTGCTTTGTGGATTTTGGGAAACATTGGTGTTTTTCAGCAAATTTTTAAAACATTCTTTCCCAAATTAGCACCAGTAGCACCAGTAGCACCAGTAGCACCGATAGCACCAGTAGCACCAGTAGCACCAGTAGCACCGGTAGCACCAGTAGCACAAGTAGCACCAGTAGCACCAGTAGCACCTGTAGAACCAGTAGCACCAGTAGCACCGGTAGCACCGGTAGAACCAGTAGCACCGGTAGCACCGGTAGCACCAGTAGCACCAGTAGCACCAGTAGCACCGATAGCACCGGTAGCACCAGTAGCACCAGTAGCACCGGTAGCACCAGTAGCACCAGTAGCACCGATAGCACCGGTAGCACCAGTAGCACCAGTAGCACCTGTAGCACCGATAGCACCGGTAGCACCAGTAGCACCAGTAGCACCAGAAGCACCAGTAGCACCGGTAGCACCAGTAGCACCAGTAGCACCAGTAGCACCGATAGCACCGGTAGCACCAGTAGCACCGGTAGCACCAGTAGCACCAGTAACACCTGTAGAACCGGTAGCACCGGTAGCACCGGTAGAACCAGTAGCACCGGTAGCACCGGTAGCACCAGAAGCACCAGTAGCACCAGTAGCACCAGTAGCACCTGTAGAACCAGTAGCACCGGTAGCACCGGTAGCACCGGTAGCACCAGTAGCACCAGTAGCACCAGTAACACCAGAAGCACCAGTAGCACCAGTAGCACCAGAAGCACCAGTAGCACCAGTAGCACCAGAAGCACCAGTAGCACCGGTAGCACCAGTAGCACCGGTAGCACCGGTAGCACCGGTAGCACCAGTAGCACCGGTAGCACCGGTAGCACCAGTAGCACCAGTAGCACCAGTAGCACCAGAAGCACCAGAAGCACCAGTAGCACCAGTAACACCAGAAGCACCAGAAGCACCCGTAGCACCAGTAGCACCAGTAGCACCAGTAGCACCAGTAACACCAGTAGCACCAGTAGCACCAGTAACACCAGAAGCACCAGTAGCACCAGTAGCACCGATAGCACCGGTAGCACCAGTAGCACCGGTAGCACCAGTAGCACCAGTAACACCTGTAGAACCGGTAGCACCGGTAGCACCGGTAGAACCAGTAGCACCGGTAGCACCGGTAGCACCAGAAGCACCAGTAGCACCAGTAGCACCTGTAGAACCAGTAGCACCGGTAGCACCGGTAGCACCGGTAGCACCAGTAGCACCAGTAGCACCAGTAACACCAGAAGCACCAGTAGCACCAGTAGCACCAGAAGCACCAGTAGCACCAGTAGCACCAGAAGCACCGGTAGCACCGGTAGCACCAGTAGCACCGGTAGCACCAGTAGCACCGGTAGCACCAGTAGCACCGGTAGCACCGGTAGCACCAGTAGCACCAGTAGCACCAGTAGCACCAGAAGCACCAGAAGCACCAGTAGCACCAGTAACACCAGAAGCACCAGAAGCACCAGTAGCACCAGTAGCACCAGTAGCACCAGTAGCACCAGTAACACCAGTAGCACCAGTAGCACCAGTAACACCAGAAGCACCAGTAACACCAGTAGCACCTGTAGCACCAGTAACACCAGTAGCACCAGTAGCACCAGTAACACCAGAAGCACCAGTAGCACCAGTAGCACCAGTAGCACCAGTAGCACCAGTAACACCAGAAGCACCAGTAACACCAGTAGCACCTGTAGCACCAGTAACACCAGTAGCACCAGTAGCACCAGTAACACCAGAAGCACCAGTAGCACCAGTAGCACCAGTAGCACCAGAAGCACCAGTAGCACCAGTAGCACCAGAAGCACCAGAAGCACCAGAAGCACCGGTAGCACCGGTAGCACCGGTAGCACCAGTAGCACCAGAAGCACCAGAAGCACCTGTAGCACCGGTAGCACCAGAAGCACCAGAAGCACCAGTAGCACCAGAAGCACCAGTAGCACCAGAAGCACCAGAAGCACCGGTAGCACCGGTAGCACCAGTAGCACCAGAAGCACCGGTAGCACCGGTAGCACCAGAAGCACCAGTAGCACCAGTAGCACCAGTAGCACCGGTAGCACCAGTAACACCAGTAGCACCGATAGCACCGGTAGCACCAGTAGCACCAGTAGCACCAGTAGCACCAGTAGCACCAGTAGCACCAGTAGCACCTGTAGCACCAGTAACACCAGTAGCACCTGTAGCACCAGTAACACCAGTAGCACCAGTAGCACCAGAAGCACCAGTAGCACCAGTAGCACCAGTAGCACCAGAAGCACCAGTAGCACCAGTAGCACCAGAAGCACCAGTAGCACCAGTAGCACCAGTAGCACCGGTAGCACCAGTAGCACCGGTAGCACCGGTAGCACCAGTAGCACCAGTAGCACCAGAAGCACCAGAAGCACCAGTAGCACCGGTAGCACCAGAAGCACCAGAAGCACCAGTAGCACCAGTAACACCAGAAGCACCAGTAACACCAGTAGCACCAGAAGCACCGGCAGTACCAGTAGTACCAGTAACACCAGTAGCACCAGTAGCACCTGTAGCACCAGTAGCACCCACACAACTGACAGACAGTAGAAGCTTATTGTCTGACGCCCCACAGAATTACTCCTGAGTTGCCCTGACAGCATGTAATGAAACCAGACAATCGGGTAATGGACCGGCCATTCCAGTGACACGATAACGCATTTACTGATTGTGTTGAAACTACAAATGATACATTAATTTTGGATTACGTCTGATGTGTTCAAGTGCAGAGATTCTTCTGCTTACAAGTACATAAAAGCAACACACGATAAGTAAAGATAAACGTTGAGAAATATGATCATTTTGGTCAGTGTTTAATGACTTGGTCAGGAAATCAAATATATCATATGTGTTTATAGTTTTCTTATATATAATCCCCACCTTGTTTTGAGCGACTGAATTGTTTAGCATGATCAGGCTCGTTAACTCATTGTGTTTCATTGAACCCCGATAGTGGGATCGTTGTTCATTTCTGGAGTCATTGCCCCCTTGTACATAATGTTTACAAAACACAGAACAAAACAAACAAACATACTTACATACGACACATCTATTTTCCCTGGGATTGTATGGGACCCCAAGGATACACTGGCAGGTGCCGTCGACACACCTGGAGTCTGAGTAACCACAATCTCCATCGACGCTGCATGGAGCAATCTGCTGGTAGAGCACTGTGTCTGAAAAGTACCCATTACATGGAACGTTCAAACGCAACGTTTTGTATACACAAAAAGTGTCATGTACTGAATCACATCACATAATTATCTTCCCACGTGTTCTTTGGAAACTCGACAGGGATAATATAGTTTATGGTCATGTCACAATGTGCAGCATTGATCGTTGATGGGAAAGTCGGACCTGACCTATGGTTTAAACTGTCTAAACTTTTGAGTGGGACAAACTTGTAAAGTCTGTATGAGCATACATTTATTGTACAGGATGCTCAATATTGTGTTTATATTTCGCTGTTAATGTATACATTTTGTGCAGGATTCTCAAATTTGTGTTTGTATTTCGCTGTTAATGTATACATTTATAGTACAGGATGCTCAATATTGTGTTTATATGTCGCTGTTAATGTATACATTTTGTGCAGGATTCTCAAATTTGTGTTTGTATTTCGCTGTTAATGTATACATTTATAGTACAGGATGCTCAATATTGTGTTTATATTTCGCTTTAAATGTATACATTTATAGTACAGGATGCTCAATATTGTGTTTATATATCGCTGTAAATGTATACATTTATAGTACAGGATGCTCAATATTGTGTTTATATTTCGCTGTTAATGTATACATTTATAGTACAGGATGCTCAATATTGTGTTTATATGTCGCTGTTAATGTATACATTTATTGTACAGGATGCTCAATATTGTGTTTATATGTCGCTGTAAATGTATACATTTATAGTACAGGATGCTCAATATTGTGTTTATATTTCGCTGTTAATGTATACATTTATAGTACAGGATGCTCAATATTGTGTTTATATGTCGCTGTTAATGTATACATTTATTGTACAGGATGCTCAATATTGTCTCTATATGTCGCTGTAAATGTATACATTTATAGTACAGGATGCTCAATATTGTGTTTATATTTCGCTGTAAATGTATACATTTATAGTACAGGATGCTCAATATTGTGTTGATATTTCGCTGTAAAT